TGGATGACGGTGACCCACAAAGGAGTGAACATATATTGCAAAAAGTATTGGCAACCAGTTTATCCGTATGTGCACAAACCATTTCTTAATGAATCTCAACACGTGATATCAACCAAAGTAGGCTGGATTAAAGCTAAGGGTAGACAGTCTATGAAGTTTGTGACTGGTGTTCTAAGCCGTAAAGGAAGCTGTGGGTCGTCTGACTGAAATCCTTGAGGCGATCTCAGTTCATGGTTGGAGACTTGATGGTATGGCTTAAAATTGATCATAGTGGTGACATTCATTCATTTTTCTTTCCTTCCATACACTTTGTCGACTTCAGTGCCATCTCATTCTGTTCACTGCTTTATATGCTGCTGTGGAGAGGACTCCAGTTTGAAGTGCAGGACCCGTGCAGAAGGACTGAAAGTAACATGAGTATTTCATAAATGAAACAGTTGACTAAACTTTGAGAATTAACTTTTTACTGTTATGTCAGAAAGCTCAGATATCGAACATCCTGTTAGCTAATATCTGCTAGAGATTTCTCAGAGATCCTCTTTTTTAAATAATGGAAGCAATACTGCCAGGTGTGATTAAAAATGGATGCAACCTATTTAATCCTTCAGTCACCTTGATCCCTTCGTTTTAAAGTCAGTCAGTCAGTCAGTAAGTCAGTCAGTCAATCAACTAGTCGGTTCGCACACCAAAGATCCACAAGGAAATTATTTTTTCTGTATACAGCCCAATTACGAAAGGATGTCTGCACTCACCTATGGTATGAAGCATGTCAACTAAGATGCTGAGTTAGATTCAAATGGTTAGTAATTTAAAACGATTAAATTGTATTTTACAGCAAATAACAAAGAGAACAGAGTTACGGATAAGAGTGTTAGCTCGATGTTCGAGAGCTGCAAGGAGTTTTCTGGAAGCTTTTCTCTGAGACCTCTTGATTTTTAGAGCATTTACCACCTGGAGGAAATTGGAATTTCTTCAGTGATTCGAGTTTGTAGTTAGATATGTTATCGTTCAACCATTCGCGCTGCATCTAAATCTTCCTTAAGTATGAACTGATTTGGCCTTATTTTGTACTAATTACTAACAAAACTATACATATCTAGTTTTCTATGTGACCATCTGGTTAAGTGATTCAGCACTTGATTACGAGCTAGGAACTTGTAAACCTAAGTTCCCTCCAAATATCAGTCGTTAACGAAGTGGAAGACTGATGCTTTATTTTGTTTAAAAAACGAGATACACATGTCAGTCAGTGCCATATTTAGAGATTTGTGTGAATAAATTGTCTGAAAGGAGAACAAACATTTCAACAAAGAGTATCTTCTCGGCGATCTCATTCTCAAAACTGTGAAGTCGCAAATTTATGCATTTTTCTTGTGTTAAGATTTGAAGATTAAAAGTGGTGTATCAAGCATAGCAAAAAAATTAGTATCAATACATGAGGTGTCATTCAAATCAAAAATTGTGATGAGTAGTGAATATCAATCAGAATATGATTAGAGTTGTACAAAGATCACTAGGTTTGGATAAGAAATTTCGTAGGATGAAAAAGTATTCAGAAACTGAAGTGTAGTCAGAAAGGCCATAGAAACAAGAATGGATGGTGAATTACGTAAGAAGTGAACAGTGTAGAAAGAAAGAGGTGATTTCAAAGACTGAAAGTGGGAGGGGTTGAGCGTACAAGGTTCAGGTTTATCCTTATGGACGGTAAGAACTTTGTCTTTGCAGAGAATACGAAGACATACAGACTTTAGAAGGTTTCTTCTTACCTTATTAAAGACTTTGGACAACGAGGTTCTTGAGACAGAGTACGTCGTGTTTAGACATGTTAGCTCCACTGTTACCTTTTTGTAACCATACAGGATAGTGCTCCTGAACTCTTTTAGGATAACAGTTGCATCGAACGATCTATATACCCAACTCTACAAGTGCAGGTGAAGTGATATACGCAAACAGAAGTGATCACATGCGAAAGTTTGTTGTTCGTGTTGTTGAGAATCATTGGGTGACAGGAGAATATTGGTCTCAGCGTTATCCGTAGAGGGTTTAATATCCTTCTCTTTAGAGTTTTACCGGCAGAATAACCTTTGAAATTTAGATTCATATAAAGTATCCTACTTAGTAGGGTGGTAGAGCTCTCTTTGAGAGATTATGTCATTAGTCAGTGTGTGATGTCTTTATTAGTCATGATGATTATCTGATCTTCGTAGGATATTTCATCTAACTCCATCAACTATGACTTTTTTTAGTTCATTCAAAATATAGCTGATGGAGTCACTTCAGAAATAAATCTCAGTTTTTCGTTTTTCAACATGTTGAATACAGCTTGACAACAAATCAAACAGCATCATCATCACAATAGGACTAATTACCTTTCGAATTAATTAATTAATTTGGAATTTAGGATATTAATTACTCAACCTGAAAGCCTGTAATGATGATCAACAATAATGATAAATATTTAGCTCTAATTTATAAGACAGTAAATAGATGTTCAATATTTAAAGGTTCAATGTTTATTTTGATTTTATGTCAAACGGATACTTTAACTAACTTCCTCTTCAAATTTAGGTTTAAAATTTGCTTTAACAATTTTAATTATTACGAAAAAGGTATTTTTTACACTAGTTTACTATGATGACTATTGAACATGTAGCATTTCGTTCGTAACTCTCATTGTTTAAGTTCACTTGAAAGTATATCTGTAGCTATAGTTACGATGTTTTGGTAATAATTTTAAAGAAGCAGTTTCTTTGCTTTAAAAATATACGTATATTTTTAACTATCTGTTAAGTGCAACATGGATAGCACCAAACAAAAGTCTTAAATTGTTTAAAACATTGCAAGTCACAGAGAAGACGCTGAAAATAACGGAAGAACTATGTAGTATTTTCCGATAAGGTTGAAAAATATGAGGGTAAAGATGTATAACACAATGCCGAATAGCCAAATGCATTCACTACTGAAAATCATTCACGCCATATCTGTAATCCCTGATTTATGATTTATAATAAACTAGGCCCTCTTTACTATCTGTAAAAGGTATCGCAGATGTGGTTGACGCAGTCGTCTATAGTGACTTTTACTACATCTGGAGTCATATGAAACCAAACTGAACAAATGGATGTCAGCGTAAAACTTTGACACTGTGGTGGAGAATAACATCATGTTGAATGAGTTTATCTGATATAGAACAGTGATACAGAACTATTTAATAGTTGACAATAAGAGCAAAGTTTACCGCTCAAAAACACATGCACAAAGATCATCAAGGGTTCTGTCCTCTTGATAGTCAATTATTTATTGGTTAGTTTATCAACTTGAATCAACTCAGTGACAAATAAAGCAATACTGAACCGATTTTACGGACATTTGCTAGCGATGAGTTCTGTGATGGAAAAGATTTATATCTAATGATGAGTAAGTATGATGGTAGTTTGTGTTCTCTTAGCATTGTAATTTTGTCATGGATATTTTATGATCAGGTTTGGTGACATCCTCAGAACTCAGTCACTCCATACAGAAGTTAAGTATTTTTGAATGTTACACGAACGTTTAGAATGTTTTTATAAAAATACCTCAGTGGGTGTTGGTATTCCTACTTGAACCAGAATCCGCCATTAATCACTTGAAATCTGGTCGAGTATTATAAAACAACAGAAAATCGTAAGAGTATTAACCAATAAGAGTAAAGTAATCTTTGCTTTTTCACATCATCATAGAACAGAGCATAGAATGGCAATCAGCTCTCTACCTCAACTTCATCGACTTTGAGAAGGCCTTTGACAGCGTCGACCGAGAGGTAATTTGGAAACTGCTTCAATACTACGCAATACCGCAAACCTTTATCAGCCTCATTCAACAACTATATGAAGACGACACATGCCAGCCAAGTAATTCACAATGGGAAGCTCAGCTCAGTGATGCTTTTGAAGTGAAGTGGAGACAGGAGTGAAACAAGGCTGCCACCTGCCATCACCCATGATATTCCTGATTGTGGTCGACTGGACTGGATCATACAGCAAACAGTGGGGAGCGAGAAGAGGGGGATATGCTGGCTGGACTGCGGAAAAGAACCTAGAAGATTTGGGTTTCGCCAATGATGACTTGTGTCTGATGTCAAATAAACTTGAAGATCTACAGGTGAAAACTAACAAGCTGGCAGAAGAGGCAGGGCAGAGCAGCGAGGGGAGACGGGACTTCAGGTGAATATTGAGAAGACAGAGGTAGAGGTGATGAAGATACCTCACCAACAACTCCAACAACAACAACAAACTCCAATCACCATCAAAGGAAGTAACCTCCTTCACCTATCTAGGAAGCACTGTTTCAAATACAGGCGGTGGTGGCACAGACGAGGATGTCAAAGTCAGAATCGGAAAGACAGTAAGACAGGCGTTCATTAGCCTGAAACCATCGTGGAGATCTTCTGCACTCAGCATGTGGAACAAGATCCGGATTTTCAACACCAATTCAGTCAAGTCAGTGTTTCTGTATTGTTCAGAGACTTGGTGCGTTACGAAAGGGATTTCCAATAAACTACAGATATTCATCAACAACTGCTTATGCTCACTACTGAAGTTCAGATGGCATAGCCAGAAAGAATAAGCGACAAGGAATTCTTGCCGGGCAATGAACCAACCAAGAACCTACCACCCAACAAATATGCAGTGGAAGGAAGTGGAGATGGATTGGGCATACAGTGAGAAGGCCGACGGGGGACATCACGCGTCAGGCCAGTTGCTCGAGTGGAACCCCCATGGGAAGTGACGAGTTGGGCGTGGGAGGTGAGGGTGACATGGAGGAGATGGTGTGAGGAGGAAATGAGAGCTTGTGGGCTGTTGTGGAGCCAGGTTGAAAAGATTTCGGAGAACAGAGTTCACTGGAGACGTGCTAGTGAAGCCCTATGTTCCACTAGGAACCCAAGGGACTAATAATAATAATAATAATAATAATAATAATAATCTTTGTTTTTTATTAAAAAAAATACACAACTGACTTACATGCAATACGTACATGCGTTTGATTACTGATTTTTACACGTGGTTCACCTAAACTTAAGATATTATTCCATGCTTCACATTGACACCAGTAATCACCAAACCATTCTTCAACAGTATTTTCATCAATTAGACGAATAGCCATTTTACGATTTTGTTTATTATTATTATTGACAGTTGAATTTTGAGTTAAATTTAAATCTGTTAACTCTCCATGATGTTTGAATTTTTGATTGGCTTGATAAACTGGCGATCCAACGTTTTCAGTCCCATAATCATATCGTGCATTCGAGTTGGTTGGATTAGTTACACAGACTATATACAATAAGATAACTGGTTCAGCTACACACTGAACTAATGCTGGCTGCCATTTTGATGTGTAAAGTATTTGTGGTGGTTGTATAATATATTGTGGTATATCTGGATACTGTACTTCCTCTTCTGATATAGATTCGTAGGCTTTTAGATTAAAGTTTGTAGAAGGTGTTTTCAAGTGAAGAATGTCATTGTGTAACTCCATGACTGATTCATCACCTGTAATCAAACGTTCGAATAAAGATAAGTTTAAATTTTCTTCATTTAACTGATTTATTGAATAGGAACTAGTGAGTAAACATTTTTGAAGAGAGTAGTAAATATTTAAAATATAAAATATTGGTAACATATTTGTGCTTTTTTATCACATGTTATAAGAATATAAGCAACTAAGTAATGAATCGACTGCCTGCAGCCGTGCCAGTGTCTTATGCTTGATTGGGAAATCAAGTTAACCAATCAGGGAAGAACGGGAAAGTGATTGGCTGAAAAAGAGATTCAATCTAGGAATACGTTACAAATTTCAGTAATGATAACAGCTGTGCCCTGCAGATTCGACCAGTTGCTCGTTAAAGTTAAACAAGAAGTTGGTAAGAGAGGTGAAGAAGAATCTTATGTAAATGTGTTCTTTAAGTCATGAAAAGAAGATTTCAGGAACATGTTAGCTGCTAACGCTTTCATATTGTGAAAAACTTAACATTCGCACTGAATTTTAACTAGTGTCCACAGATAACGGCAAAGAACATTTACATGGTTTAAAAAATTACTATTCTTTTCAGGCTGAGCTCAAGGAAATGAAGATTACGTGAGATATCTGAAGATACATGAAACTATGAATAAGTAACTAGGGCAAACTAGTTGAAAAAAACCCCAGGAAACCATGGGTAAATCACAAGATGAGTAAATATCTAGCATCCAAGAAGGTTAGGAGCTTTAATAGTAAGATAGATTCAGGACTACGTAGCTGGGTTTTTTATCGGAGCTACCGATTCACACTGTCAAATATTTTTGACAAATTTATTGCACTCAGCATGCGGAACAAGATCCGGATTTTCAACATTAACTTCAAGTCGGTGCTCCTGTATGGTTCAGAGACTTGGCGCGTCACGAAAGGCATTTCCAATAAACTACAGACATTCATCAACAACTGCTTATGCTGTCTCGCTACTGAAGATCAGATGGCATAGCCAGAAAGAATAAGCGACAAGGAATTCTTGCCGGGCAATGAACCAACCAAGAACCTATCACACAACAAATATGCAGTGGAAGGAAGTGGAGATGGATTGGGCATACAGTGAGAAGGCCGACGGGGGACATCACGCGTCAGGCCAGTTGCTCGAGTGGAACCCCCATGGGAAGTGACGAGTTGGGCGTGGGAGGTGAGGGTGACATGGAGGAGATGGTGTGAGGAGGAAATGAGAGCTTGTGGGGAGTCGTGGAGCCAGGTTCAAAAGATTTCGGAGAACAGAGTTCACTGGAGACGTGCTAGTGAAGCCCTATGTTCCACTAGGAACCCAAGGGACTAATAATAATAATAATAATAATAATAATAATAATAATAATAATTGCATAACTGTCATTTCCGCAATGTTATACTGACTCGCAAGTACAAAAGGATCATAATTTTGTGAACTGTGTAGATATTTTTTTATCATGCAACGTGCACACTAATTAAACTTTCCTAACGAATAGTCTTATGAATTATTTTTTAAAGATTTTATACATGTTAACTCATTTGATTAATTTGGTTTTTCTATTTACACTACTTACGAGTAGCCTAAAGTTAATTTGTGAAACTTTGTCCACTGCTCTTGAGGTTATTTTTTTGAAGTGAATGATGAGAAATTGGTATTAATTTTCTTTAATACAAGACAATATAACTGGAAAATTTCTAATATAGAAACTGTGCAACTGTTCAACCGGATTAGATGAACCTGATTCAAAGTGCTTTCATTCATTCTGTATCGAAAACTGGATGTTAGCTTTGATTTATTGTTTGTTTATTGTTATTATTCGTCAAACTGCAGTCTACTTAGTGAATTGCTGGATTACATAAATCGGTTTCCTTAGAAGGAAAATATTATTGGCAGATTTGATAAAATTTTGGTTATCTACAGATTAACTGTGAGTTACTCATAAATTTAAATGTATCCTTGAATGCTGGCTTTACTTACTGAAGACATGTTAGTTTTGGGTAAGTATTGGTTTCTTTTGTGAGACTCCACTGGTCTAGGCTAGCAATATTCTTTCCAGTACTGGACAGAAGAGTAACACATTAGTATTTAAGGTCAGTGTTCCAAAAAGATTTCAGTTCAGCCATAGACGTTTATGAAGGCGTTATGCTACTCACTGAATTTAGTTTCCTACTAGTACAAGTGAGCACTATTATGAACCAGTTAATCGCTAAGATCCATACAGTACTGGTCATTTTATTTATCTGAGTTCAGGACTCTTCAGCAGTATAAAAAGTGATCTAGGGAGTCAACCATATCGGGAGTGAGAAAGTAATCTCAAAAAGCATTTTCCAAAGTTCAAATTGGAGAGTGAGAGATTTCACCATACTGACTTATTGGTTACTTGTACAGAAGTAGACAAAAGAGGTCTGGTTATATTGTTGTATGAGGGACAGAATGTGACATCCTGAGGTTTTCCAGATTAATTCTGTATTTGATGTTTAGCTACGGAAAAATTTACTTTGAAGTTGACGCGTTTGTGAAAAGCATTCCAACTAAAAACATTTATATACCGTTCTGTTCAAAAAGTTAGTTTCATCGAAACAATTATTTACTGTTATTAAGCTTACGAATAGCATACTCGAGTAAAAGATTCTCTTGACAATCAAGAACAATGCAAGGCAAAAAAGTCATATACATTTGATTGAGAAATTTGTTGAGGATCGATTGATTTTGAAAGAAGCCTTTATTATACGTTGACTTCAGTCAAAGAACTGTTGGAAACTCCTAAAAGAAGTAAACAGTTGTTTCTTCATGGTTTTGGTGTACACTGTTAAACAGTTGTGAATTGAAACGAAACAGCTGTTGACTACTTCTTGATTTTCAACTGTTCTCCTGGTGATTTCAGTCCGTTTTAGAGATCAAGTTTTTATCTCATAAATTCCCATCAGCTGTAAATTATTGTTAAAAACAAAACAAGAATTTACACTTAGGAAGATGAAGGAAATAGGTGAAATTTAATGAAGAATGAAAGCAATACAATTGATAGTCATAAATATAATTAAGACCTTGAGAAGACAAATATGATATCATTTTGGAGTTTCTCCACAGTTGTACAACAAATAAAATGGTTTACAGTATGAAACTATTCATCAGTATTTGCAGTTATATGAAGCTAAGAAAAATATTATTTTTCAATCATTATTACATCAGAATATTACACATCAGTTTCTTGTCACTATGGAGAAGATGAAGTTTATTTTGAGGTTGGAATTCAATGACAATGAAGCAGATGAGGTAATAAAGGATAGACTAGTGAAGACTGCCAAAATAACATTCTATCAAACCACCTATACTAATCACTCAGTGATGAACACGTATACGAAGGACAAACTGTCACCACTTCAGCGTGTAGATATCAGTTCACCTGCTCCTGTGGAGTTAAGTACAGAGATCGTACGTCGAAACCGATGCCTCTCAACATGGTTTAGTAAAGGTGAACGCAGTTCAATTAACAGCTCCATGTCACAACATTTGGTTGACATTACGTCCACAGATCCAGAAGATTAATTTTTAACTAGTCTGCAAAATGTAACGTAATTTTCGGAAGGGTATGAAGAAGCGTTTACTTTGAATTGCTGAGGCTGTGGCAATACAGCGATGGAAACCGTTGTTGTGTATTGAGAAGCAACTTTGCCACTTGCTTTCCTTATTCACTACTCAGTTCGTAAACTTTCAAATCCCTGAGCCTTTGTAATCTTTTAATTTTCATATTATTGCTACATGAATTATTTTCATTTAGCTTAGTTACTAATTTCTCAACCCTTTGGCCACTGAAAACTGTCTACTGACTTTGTTGAGAAATTTTACTTCTCAATTTCAACTCATATTTATTAACTTCAGGTTGGTATTCATCATGGACCGACATCAGGTGAAGAGGAACTGAAAACCTAGTAGCACTTGACAGCTGTTTCTTCCCAATCTGGGATTTCTTAGCAGTGTGCAGTTATGACCCCGTAAGGGATCAAACCTACGACCGCGGCCAGCACTTTACCACTGAGTCACATTTATTCAATTTATGAAATACTTACATATTTTTTACGTAGTTTCTGTTCCGATATTATTTTCATGGCCATAAACTATTATCATTTACTGGTGAAAATAAATACTGACATTTCTTATGCCTAATAACTATATTTAAATGGGACTGTACAGCTGTAGAGAATGATATCACCGAGAACAGAACTGTTCCTGCTAAAGTTTTTATTCCTACATGAAATAAACGAAAACATTGAATCTCAGTCATTATATAAAGTCAACTTTCTACCACAAATTCATCGACTTTGAAAAGACCTTCGATAGCGTCCACCGAGAAGTAATTTGGCAGGCAGCTGCTTCAACACCACGGTTTAAGTGTCACAAATCTTTATCAATCTCATTCAACAGTTATATGAAGACGCCACATACCAAGTCATCCACAATGGAAAGCTCAAATACGCCTTCGAAGTTAAGACGGAAGTAAGATAAGGCTGTCTACTATCACCCATGATCTTCCCGATTGTGGTCAACTGGACTGGATCATGCAACAAACAGTGGGGTGCGAGAAGATGGGATACGCTGTTCGGTCGATGAAAAGATCCTAGAAGATTTGGATTTCACCAACGATGATGACTCATATGTCTAGTGTTGCACAGACTCGAACATCTACAGGCAAAATCTAACAAGTTGACACAAGAGGCGAGGCAGCGAAAACGGGACTCCAAGTAGATGTAGGGAAGACGGAGGTGATGAAGATACCTAACCAACCCCACCACCACCACCACCAACAACAACAACAAGCACCAATCACCATCAACGGGAGAAACCTAAAGGAAGTAGTCTCTGTCACCTACCTAGGCTAGGCAGGCAGCATCGTTTCAACTACAGGCAGCACAGGCACAGATGAGGATGTCAGAGCAGACAGGATCGGAAAGACAGCAAGACAGGCCTTCCCGCATTAATCTGAAATCAGTGTGGAGATCTACTGCACTCTGCTCAGCACAAAGA